ACGGATACCCGGCTATTACGGGCGCTTAAAAATATCGAACTAATTATTCTCCTTGATGCACGCATTTACAAATTCTCGCGTTTATAAATTCATATCGCAATTTATCATTTAATCTCTTACGCAAGCCTGCATTGTTAAAAAAAATGTTTGTGCTCAAAGTATCAGTGCCATATACATTTGTGCCATAATGTTTGTTATTGAAAATTAAATTACTTCGATTTAAACGTGAGCTAAAGCGTAAATATGTGATATGTGCAGCGTAAAATATAGTGATAACGTAAAGTAGGGCGATAACGTAAAATATCAACGTTGCAATTAAGGAAAATTAAGTAGATAGGTAATTTATCAATTTTATTGGTCTTAAGAGGGTAGAAAAAGTTGGTTGCGGCGAATGGTTGCAGCGATAATCGATTGTGTTTTACGGCCATTAATACTTCACTGGTCTTACGGGGGTGGTTGAAGAAGGGAAAGGGGACAAAGGGATTCCGATTATGGCTGCAAGAAAGAGAAGCTCTGATCCATAACAGGAGGATTTCGATACGAATACTGCTGCATCCTTATAATTATCGGAGGCTCAAGTTTCCAAATAAGATTACGATAGATTAATTTACGGAATGAATAAGTCGATTATGGAAAATATCCAGCATCGCGGAAAATTTTAACGAGTCCTCGAATCTGCCATGAGAAATAAGAAATGCAACTGTTTTCTATTTCAATAGGAAAAATATATGTTAAATAATATTCCAATGTATATTCTTTAATCGCCAATTAAATAGCATAACAATTAAAATATTAAGCAATCTTATACTATACAAAAGGTAAAATAATGGCATTAACCTACAAGAGAACACATTAGATCTTTGTAATGATTATTCACCTATTGTTGAAAGACTGCTTCCACATAATTGACATATTCAGATTCTATTCAAATGTAGAATTGATAAAACGATTTGATTGATGTAATTAATTATTTTAATAGCTCCGACGAAATTGTAAAATGTTTACTAAAGTATGTAATGTACTGCATTAAATTGTTTCTTGAATACTGCGCCAATAAAAATACTATTAAAATATAATTCGTATAAAACGCGAGAGAATTTTACACATTGTATTCTGCCTGCATTGTTGCTCTAGTATTGTTTGTCTGTTATTACGCAATGTTTTTCTGGCAATAATACGCTCAACGATAAATTGCGATTCCTCCTTATCTTTCGTACATTTGACGTCGAATATGACGGGATTAACATTCAAATTCTGTTTGTTTTTATTTATTGACTAGCTTTTTTTCCACTATACACGTGTTGCTTCATGATATCAGTTTGTACCTAGTTTACCTTGTAACAGAGGCTAAGCCTTCAGTCGGTGCGCCAATCTTACAATTAGACAGAAAGCATTGTCTCGTATCGAATTCAGACACTGGTGACTGTTGCGAAGTTGATTGTTCGGTAAGTAGATTACACATTATCATATAACACCTGCGAGTTACTAATTTGTTAGTCAATTCCTTTCATCTTTTTTCTTTTTTTAAAAGGCAGAGGTCAATTTCGTGATATTCCATTAGTTAATCTTTTTAACCAACTTCGCAGCAGACCACTGGTTTATAGAACATGACTACATTGTCACACTTTTATATATGCGTTGTTGACGACTCGTTTTAAAATTATTATAACTATATATTTCTAATTGTTACACTGAAAAAGGTCTAAGACCGAAACGTTGGAATTTGTATTTATGTTTGTATTAAAGTTATTTTTTTGCATTTCATTTTCCGCTTTAACATTAGCGTTTTGCTCTTATTTTTCTTATTTTAAATTTGATAATTTTGTATGTATATGTAAACTTGCAAATGTTACGGATACTATTAGTAAAAAATTTTTAAAAAAAGCTTTAATGTTAATTTTAAATTTGATTTACACCTCACAGAATCTACACAACATTTAAATTATAATATTAAAATTTGTAAATAATAGAAAAATGTATACATGCATAAAAACGCAGAGAAAGAAGAAAGTTTTATGTGATCGTAAGAAAGAGAAACGAAGTGATAAAATGCGGTTATGAGAGCTCAGGTAGGATAAGAGAGGCTATTGGAGTATATATGGGAATACTATAAGAAGGATCTATTTGGGACAATATGACTCGGAGGTTATCGATGTTTGCAAAACTGAACTCTGTAATAAAAGATCTAAGAAAAAAGGGGTGAATGAAGGAAACTGGTTTAAGAAAAGAATCCAGAGAAAATCTCATCAATTATATACGAAGGGAAAAAGAAGGAAGGAATATTCTGAGGAAAAGGTTTATCACTAAGGTTGAAGAACAGTTCCGTGTGGGTTGAAGAACACTTCTGAATAAAAATTGAAAAAGGGGAAAAAATAGCGAAGTGTCAATTAATATGTTTGAGAAAGAGAATAGATAAGTTGAACATCAAAGATTAGAAAGGAAGATAGCAAAATTATCAAGAATTTGAACGTTTTCTAACTTGTCAATTTCTTTAATGCTTTGTAAATCTTCTTGTTTCGACAATTTCTAATCTGTTTCACATCCACTCTAGGTTTCTAAAATCTGTGAATTCACCTCTTTATAAAAAAATTGAATAACAATGATAGAGAATTATTTGTGTGGCAATAACGTTATTATAATTACAAGAAGTGTTATTATCAAGAAATGTGAGAACAATCGAAAAAAAAGGAAGTAAAGAAATTAGTCAAATTAATATATTTTCTCTAAATAGATTCTTACAAAAGAAATTAAATTTGTCAGTCAGCAGTTAATAGGTATAGCAATAGCTAACCCGAAGTAACAGAAGTAAAAATTTCTATGAAAAATTGCTCAGTCGCTCGGTTAAACGTTAGTTCTGGGAAAAATATAACCGTAGGTATAACGATTACGCGTAACTAAAAATTGATTAGCTATTCTATCTATTTCAAAGATTTTTAAGTTATACTATAGTCAATTCTCCCAATTAGTTCTGTCGATATTCAGTTACGCAAAAATAATTTTCACTTAAGAGGACTAACCAAAATGTTAATCAGAGTTACGGATATCCAAATAATTTGATTATCTAAAATCGTGGGCCCTAAAGTGGGTTATTTCCGTCTTTATTTTTCCCAGAGTTGTTATGTTAAAGTTTGAAATATTTTTTATGCATCACGCTCAACTTTGTGCAGTTTCTCTTTCGCCTAAAAAATTCATTTTTTCCAAGTTGTATATGATATTGAGTGTATATATGTGTGTGTGCACATGTTTGTTATTTTATCCTTAAAAAACAATTTTTTAAAAGCTGTTTCTCGCTAAATAATTGTCCGACGTTTAAGTTTTAACTCTCGTTCTAAAGCTGTGCATGGGACTTTTGCAGGAAAAAAAAGACTCGTGAAATCCGTACATATATAGTTTCATGATATGTGACTAACATTTTGTAATTATTTTATATAAAATTGGTTTAGCGTTTTTCTTTCCTACACACATCACGCTTATATAAATATTATTATACTAAAATTTAACTTACTTCTTCTCGACGTTCTCGATAAACAAATACATCAAAATTCATAAGCGAAAGGAAGTATCGAGTATGCAATCATATAAACCATTGAAACAATACTCGTACTAAAGCATAAATCAATGAAGCTCATAGGGCGGTATTCATAGTCGGATCTTATTTCAAGACCGTCTTAAGTAATGTCTTAAGTTGCTAATACGGTCATTTGATTGGCCTGGCGGAGTCTTAAGACTGCTTTTGACCAGACTTAAGATGATCTTAGATATAAGATCCGACTATGAATACCGCTCATAGACTCATATTTCGAAAATCAGCTTACACTCGAGCATGCTTAACTGTGAAAGCATAACGTTCAATCAAGCTGAAGTTCACATATAAAATAATTTCGGGAATATGCGCACCGAAAGCTCACAACGACTCTTTTAAAAAATAATGTGTGTGTGTGTGTGTATCTTTATTAACTTTCACAAGCCTTACAAATTTTTCTGCATATATGTAACGCGGAATTCATGATACGTGTTATGAATTCGCAGATATTCGCAAATGTCCTGCAAACTTATCGCAGTAATATATGATCACATATTATACTTTTTAATTCACATATCTAAATAATAAGCGGATCTTATCAGGCATTATGCTGTCAATATTAGCATACAGTTAATATTATAATGGTATAAATTTTTGCAACTTTCTGATATAAATAGTAACTATGTAACCGTTCCAAGTCGATCAAAAATTCAGTTGGCATATTAATTTCGTTTATTTAAATAGATGTAAAAAAATATTGAAACAGTATGTGAATAAATGTGAACGTGAAGTGATCAATATTTTTATTGTAGGTATATACAAAACGAGGTAATCAGCAGATTACAAATACTGCAGAAGATTCGATGAAACATTTACCAAATAATTGAAGAATTTAAAAAATTTTACATTTTGCTTTATCTCTTTTTTGAGCTGTGTTTGCTGAATAAAATAATATGCGATATTTTTTACTAGTTTCGTTATAATTCCGTGCAATTTAATAAATACATCATATGCGCGTGGGTTTAATCCATTTTATCATTATAATAATTGATCTGCGCGCGAATTATTAACAATGTTAATAATTCTATAAATAAGACAACATAATAAATCAGCATACGTTAGATAATGTTATCAATTAGTGCTTGTCACGTGATGTAAAACTTCCTATTAAAAAAATATATATAGGTATAACACCAATAAGAGTATTGTAACTGCATTTCTATGTAATTTCAAATACAATTATATTTTCTAACGTTTTAGTTTATTAGAATTATATTTTATCCCGAATATGGCTGATAACAAAGACCAAGACGTCTGTTGTAGTCGTGGATATAAGGCAAGGCAGAGAAAAACGTATAAGTGTTATGTTATAGGCTATCATACAACATCCTTACTTTACGTCCACGACTATGACAGACGTCTCGTTTTCTGCCATTAGCCTATGCATACGAGAAACATATATCATATACTTATGTGTTACTCGTATGCATATTCGGGATAAGATAAAACTGCACACTTGCACAACTTCACACCGGCTCAACACGCACATACGCAGCTGTAACGATTCTAATCGAAAAGCACGCGAGCGCGAGGCACATACGAGGCACTCAGGCACGAGCAGACACGAGCACAAGGCAAACGGTAAGCATACCGGAAGACGGCGGAAACGAAGATCGAGCCGTGTACTACGCGTGCGCTCTAAATGATATCGGATAAAATATTCAGCTCACTGACATCATCGGATAACTTTTCATCAAATGTCACTCAATTTCATGGGATGTTAAACTTTGTCGGATAAAATAGTTCGTTTTTTTTTTCCGATGAAATTAATGTCCGATATTAATCCGATGAAATTTGAACGACCAAATAAACGGCGACTCATTTTCCATTCACATAATTATCGGAAATTACATTTCATTGGATAAAAAGGCATGTATTACTTCATCGAATATCCGTTTGAAATAGATTGGATAGAGTAGTTAAACGCTTTTTTCCGATTAAAGTTGCTGGACATTTTTCTCACTGATGATAAATCTTATATTTTTGTGCAACCAAACTCGTATATTTTTTACATGTTTCTGAAACTTCTTTCCGCTACTGTACAAATCGTACAAAACAAGTTCTTAATGATACTTTTTTCCTACTCAGCATGGGAAAATTTGCGATAGAGTCACAACTGACATCTCTGCGTCAATTACTCACAATGTGGCGCACGATCATCTTCGTAATTTCTGTTGCAGTGACAAGTAAGTAAATATTTATATACATATGTGTGTAAAAGGTTACTTAAAGAGCGCCTATTAATTATATATATAACGCTATTTCTTATCAAAAATTGAGTCAAAAAGTCCTGAACCATTTTTTTCCTAATAAAGCAGTAATTATTGAGTAAAGTCAATCCAATCAGAACCGTCTTTTACGCACATCAGTAAGTCGTGCGCCTAGTATGCGTGAACACACTATACCACACACAAAGAAGTGTATAATACACGGAATAATACATTAATATACGGATGTTAAACTTTGTCTTTTCTCGCAAAGAAATATGGAAATACGTGCCTAATCAGCCTAATGTAACAGTAATGGCGAAGTAATTAATCAGGTATACTTTTTGATGGACAATTTTTAGTTGCGCCAACGAATAGCTGTATCGAAAGACGCCGATCAAAAGAAAATGGAGATGATGATGGATATTATTGCGTCTGCAATGCGGTATATTGCGACGAAGCTCCAAACGCGATTAAGCCATCCAATCCTGCCGAATATGTCCTGATAACATCGAGCAAAAGTGGTCTATTTTTTAATGTATCAAATGGCGTATATGAAAATGTTGAGGAGACTGACCGTAAGTACTGAAGTTGTATCTTCAAAAAACCCACAAATATTAAAAAAAAAAAAAAAAACTGTACAAATAGATGCAAAACAGCATTTTGCTAAACAAACATTAAGAGCAAAATTTACTACCATATTTTCGAATATGGATACTCGGATATTTCTTGAAGAAGAAACTGTAAAATCATCTCCGCTGGGAAAGATCACTATAAATCGAACGGATGTATATCAAACAATTCTTGGATTTGGTGGAGCTGTGACCGATTCAGTAGCTATAAATATTCACGATCTAACGCATGAGACATCTGACCACTTAATGAGGTATAATAATTCATAAATCGTTAAATTCCAAAAAAGTTTTGCTAATTCAGTGATTGACACGATTGACACATCTAAGAAATATGCAATGCTTTCCGTCGAAAGTTAATTTTACATTCAATTTCTAAATTCTAGAAGCTACTTTGGCCCACGTGGTATCAATTACCATTTTATCAGAACACCAATGGGTGGCTCGGATTTTTCAACGAGACCTTACACCTACGCGATGGTAGAGAACGACACTTCGCTTCACTACTTCGAATTACAGACAGAGGATTATGTTTACAAGGTTTAGTCATTTATTGATTAATATCTTAATTGTTTATTCATCTTATAAAACAAGCAATCTCTCTTTTCGGATATTGAAAAACATATACGAGAAGAGACTTGCGTTTCTGGAGTTGACTAAACTGGAATAATATAAGTAGCAGTTGCAATATAATTGATGTATTGTATGTACATTAAATGCCATATTTTATTAAATATCTTGTTAATAGATACCGACAATAAAGCGAGCTCAAGAATTAAACAATGGAAAAATTAAATTATTAACTCTACCCTGGAGCGCCAGTCCTTGGATGAAAACTAAAAACTCTTGGACGAATAATTGTAAATTACGTCCGGAATATCGACAAGTGTGGGCAGATTATTTCGTGAAGTAAGATATTATTACAATATTTTTATTACTCCTAAAAATCTGAAACCCTAAATTTGGATAAAATTTACCTAGACCAACTTTTCAGACGTTATCGCTCTTACAACATAAAAAGTTTTAGCAGCACTACACTAGATCTAAAATTACTTTATTATACATATAGCGTTTTCGATTTGTTGACTCGATCCAATTCGGGTCAACTCAGGTCAGATTAAAAATTCGGAAAAATGATAATGAAATATAACAATATGCTACGATAATGCTAAGAATATCTTTGATAAAGGTTGAGATTAAAAAAAAAAATTAACCTTTTTCTTTAAAATTTCGTTGAAATCATTGTTTTATCTCTTATCGCTAAAAAGTTATAATTTTTTTTAGAGAGAAGTGAATTTTGAAAAAACATGTGTTTTGTTAATTATCTTCCTCAATAATTTGTCACAAATTAAAAAAAAAGCATTAAATTTTGATCATTTTTTCGGCTGTTTATGAGCAAATAAAAATGCGCTGCATAAAATTTACCCATGTTTAAAGTTTACGTAAGTTTTGAACATTTAGGGTGCTAGGGTTAAGGAAAATTTCTTATTCATTCACAAGATGATCACATTCACCAAGATGATCAAAACCTATTGTTTCGAACTTCTCGGCAGATTTAAAGTAAAATAATTATTTATAAAAATAATTATTCTTCTTTCAGATATTTTGAGGCTTATCGTCGTAACGGTTTAGAATTCTGGGGTACAACATGCCAGAATGAACCAGAAAATCACAAGTATATTCCGTTTGCTCATACTAATGGGATGGCGTTGACAGCAGAGGAAGAGCGTGATTGGATTATAGAACACTTGGCGCCAACTCTGAAGAAGAACGGTTTCGAGCACATCAAGATCTTTATATTGGATGATAGCAGGCTGTCGCTTCCTGATTGGACAAAAACGGTATTTCAAGACCAGAAAGCAAGAGATATTATTTCGGGAACCGCGATCCACTTTTATCTCGATGATTTAATCGGCCCAAGTGTCTTGGATGAAATAAAACAGCTTTTTCCAGAGAAGTTACTGATGTACACAGAAGCTTGCGCTGCAGCTTTCGAAGGTTGGTGAAGATATATGTATATTTTCATTTTTATATTAAATTTTTTTCGCTTCGAAAGATTCTCTACTAATGTTAATTTAAACGACAATAAAATTTAGTAAATTGAAAAACTTCTTTCCTTATCTTCTATATTTTCCCGTTAAATATTCTTCATAAATTCGTGTGTCTTTCTTTACTATTCATAATGGTTCTTTATATGAATTTCTCGTTTAGTCATTGTTCTATAATTAACATCAAGACGAAAAAGAATTAATTAATTTAACATGTTTGCGGATTTACATATTCAACTGTAACAGATCTAAATCTAGTGATTTTTGTGAAACAAACACGAACTGAGTCATGGTCTATCATACGTATACCTTTAATAAATAATTATTATTTACAGAAAAAGACAAAAGCGTAATGCTGGGTTCGTGGAAACGAGGTGAGTTGTACGCAATAAATATCATTGAGAGTATGTCGCATTGGGTGTCCACTTGGATCGACTGGAACATTGCTTTAAATACGAATGGTGGACCTAACTATGCCGGAAATAACGTTGATTCTCCGATACTAGTCAACAGCACTGCCGACGAATTCTACAAGCAACCGATGTTCTATGCTCTTGGACATTTTTCAAAGTCTGTACAACGTATCTTTGTAGTTTGACTGATACTTGTAACGCAATAAAGTGATACAAAACTTTGATAACTAAAATAATTACGTTTTTATCTATCTACAGCATTTTATCGGTATATTTCTATTAATTAATTCCTTTTTTAAATAGGTATGTCCCACCTAACAGCGTGAGAATCGGTACAACATCGGAGAATACTGAGGGAATTCAAAATATTGCGTTTTCTACGCCTGACGGCGGCGTCGTATTAGTGATCTTAAATCTGTGAGTATATTCTTGCATAATACTCTGATAAGACATAAATAAGATATAAATGTGCGAACTATCATGCTTCACGATGCCTCATGCGATAAATTGCGATGAAAATCTATATTTACTGAACTTTTGTGTTCTTCAGAAACGAAGAAGAGAAAGAAATTCTGATCATTGATCCGAAGAAAGGAACAACAAGGATAAATGTCCTTGGAAAGTCCATAAATACCATGAAATACTGGTAGATATGTAGCGGAAATACAAAATCCGCCGTATAATGTGTCGATAAGTATACACGGCACGTGTAAAATGTTAACACTTCAATCATTTTAGTTTTTTAAACTTCATTGTCACAATATATCTTGCTGAAGTATATATGGCGAGTTTAATCTATTTTAAGAAGAATCATTAAGTGTGTGTGTGTCATGAAATAATTTAGTTATTTCATATTTTATATTAAAAGTATCATGACAAAATTTAAATAATTCTTGAGAAATATGCTGCAGAATGTAGAGTATTTTTAATAATTCTTCGGTAAAATATTTTTTCTATTAATTTGTTTAAATATAATGTGTCCTCATATATTTGGATATAAAAGTTTAAGTTCTTTTTACTTATCTGTACTTAACTTTTTGTCAGAAAATGTATTAGTTTTTTCATATGTTGTATTTAATCACTTGTGCAATCGTCTTTGTTTTCTATAACATTTTATCCTAGCGATATTCACATGCCACTATCATAGAAAAATGAAAATAGTTTATCGTTAAAAAATGAAAACACGTAGATTTTATGTCGGAAGTATATAAAGTTCTTTTTACTCAGCTAGTTTGTAACGATTAAAACAAGAACAATGTCTGTAAAGAAATATAAAAGATGCAAGATATCTGAATTTATTTTTTTTAATTGAAAACACTGTGAAAGAGTGAAAGTCTATAGTATTGTCGTGATAGAAGGTAATGCCGTTTGATCAAAACCGGCACTTCTCTTACACTGTTGTTTTAAATTTGTTGACAATACTCATCTGAATTAACCATATTGCCAGTTCAAAGATTCAGATTACAATTTTAGTACGTATAAGAATAGCGTCTTTGAGGGTGCAAATTGATTTTTGGCATTGACTGGCCAGATTCGTTTTTCAAGACCGCTTGCGTTGAACAGTATACAGTGATACTGAACAATATCAATACATACACACATACACACAGAATATCGTATATTTTTCTCAATAGTCACCAATCGATTTAAAAAAGGGTTGGCAAAAAAGACTTGTTCCACTCTATTTTTCTCGCAGTAAGCGCACGCGGCATTCAAATATCAAACTTCAAATTGTATCTGAGTTTCAGTAAATGTCGGATACGGCTATATTATATGCTCAGTTTCTTGGCTCTTTTGCCGAAATTTCTTTTATTTGTATTGATTAAATTGCGCAATATTTCATTATCGACATCCTTTGCGAAAGATTGGCCATATTTTTCATACATTTCATTCAGATGGTACATGATTCTTATATTTCGCTTGACACGTTTTCGTAAAATATTCATAAAATACGATACATTAAAAATTATCGTTTTCGTCGGTTATTTATTTGTTTCTTTTTTTTTCAAAAAGAAAATTGAATCAAATTTATCTATGTCAATAATGACATCGTTATTTTTCTCCAAGAAATTATATATCTGTCATTTGCTGCAACAATGACATAACTCAAAAAACAAAATTTTCCAGAAAACAAGTTTAAATGTTTCAAATCGTTTAATATAATATTATTTTTAAATGCATGGCAACTTTGGTGTAATAATTGATTGTAGAAGAATAAAAATATCTAGCTATATTAGCTCTTCATTTGCTGTATTGAATTTTTACCATTCCCATTGAAAAACTGCCTATTTAGATTAAAAAAAATGTATCTAGCATTTACTTATCTAGCAATTTTGTAGTAACGCGTGTACTGTTTATTCATAAAGTTTTCTTTTTATAAAACAGTACTTCGACGTATTTATCACAATGGACCTGAAAGGTTTGAGCGAGTTGCAGTATAACACGGAATATAGTGAGATACGATTAAGGCTGCAGTAACTCTTCTGGGCATAGTCCGAAACTAACGAATATCTGGTCCAGTGATTACCTTACGAATGGGAGAAAAAGGACATGCCTCGCTAGGCGCGGACGCTCTGTTTCCCGTTAACAAAAAAATTCAATTTAAATGTTGAGAGAGAGCCAAATATAAGCGTGCGTCAATTAATGAAATTTAGTTCGCTCGTTACAACATGCTCGATCAACTGGCTAGTTTTATACATTCATAAAATAATTATTAACTCGTTTAGTAGGGCGTGAAAAAGAACAAGATAGAAAAAAACGCGTGTTTGTAAAAAAAATCGAAAAAAAACACGTATCTCTGCGCAGCTTCTTTTTCTTCAATTCGGCAGCTAAATAAGTGACGTAGATATTCAAGTATGGCAAGTATGCTATCAATCTCTTCATATTATTAATTTACGCAAAAGATTCGCGGAATCATCATTTTCACACGCTTAAGACAATGTGCAGTCGCGGCAAAATTGAGTATCAAATGGAGCAATACTTTGTCATAACCAACTTATATAACGTTAAATATTTTAACATAGTTGTACGTGGCGCTTACGTAGTGTACCTTATAGATACTGCTAATCGTTCTCACCCGTCACAGTTCCGTCTCTCGTTGGCACGTTCAACAGGTGAGCTCTCTACTCATTTTCATTAATTAATTAATTACATTCTTGGATAAATAACGAGATCTTTCGATATTTCGTCTTGTACAAAAAACAGAAATTCTTTATGCAGATTTTATTTTTCCCTTTCCTTCAAGATTATTATTGCCCAATAATCATTGTCAACTCTCTTATATATTTTATTTAGAAAATATTTCACAAAATTTAGAAAATAAAAATATAATTTTAAACAAGTTGCGACAACAATAAAAAATAAATTGAAATATAATAGTGATAATAGTAAAAGTTTTAAGACAATTATATGGAAAACGATTTGTAAACATACAGTATGCTTTACACATTGCAGTTAGTATATACCTAATTGTCATGCATATTGGGTTTTCATAAGAGAATTACATTTTATTTTCACAATTTATCTTGGCAAATGGAAAAGAATAACTGTGATACAGTGAAACTTTATTAAGGGATAATAGTTTAATAAAAAAAAAACACCGTTATCGGCAATAATATAACTAGAAGTCTTTGTTACAGTTCCTTTAATATATGTCACCATTATTAATGTAATTAGATGTTAAAAACATATCTGTCGTCATTTACAGCCCTAAATTTATCTATCTATTATGTTATCTGTTATATTTAGATATGTATTTAAAAAAATATATAGTTTGTACCTTAAAAATAGACAGATTAAAAAAAAATCAAGTTTATCATTTGCAGAAAAACTTCAATGTCACAAAATCCGGTTTATTTCAAGACACATTCGCATGGGATGGAGTTACAGTAACATACAAAAGTTTAAGATAAGAAGGCAATCTATATATAATTAAAATAAACAAAGAAATAAAATTTTTCTTCTTATAAAAAAATGTGAACTTGGGATTATTGTCTTATTGAATATAACATTATTGATAAATAAATCGCATTCATCGGAAAGAAGTGTTTATTGTTAGTTCAGTATTTTAATAAACTAACATCAGTGATACATATAGTGCAGCAAAAGTGATATAAATAATTAAAAAAAAAAAATTCTTTTATAATTCTCTACATATAGTCAAGAAATGTTAATCAAGATTTTCTCATATAAAGCTTCTCTTAAAAAAATCAATTGTAATAATCGAAAAATTGACAATATTCACACGTGTAATTTCCACTGCAGCGTTTCTAAAACTTGCGTATAATTAGCAATATTTACATTGTGTACAAGATTTATTTAAAAAGTATTCAGACACATGGGTATATGTATTAAAATATATCAAAACCATATTATATAATTATTATAAGCGTTATCATGCGTTATGATGAGGTAGAACTGGTTCAGATCAATTATATTTTAAAACTCACGCGTCTTTGCGTACCATCAGTCTATTATAGTGAGACAATAAAACTAATCATGTTTTCTTCCGTGGAAATTTTCATGAGATGTTTGAGAGCAATGTGTATCGAGCAACGTGCGTTTGTACTAAATTCTGTTTCAAAGTTTATTGGTAAAAATAAGACGTTTAATTTTATAAAAATAGCATATGAGCATATGCATAACATATTTTATGAAACTTTTCAGGACAAATATTACTTTTCGAAAGGGATTTCGATCGGAATTGTTTAGTTATTTCCAAGATTTCTATTGAATTCTAGAGAAAACAAAATAATTCCGATCAAAATCCACTCCGAAAAGTTCCATAATACGTGTCCTAGACTGCTTCATTATAGCTCGTTGAGCAAATGCTCGATTATGTCTCCACTTGTCTCAATTTATTTACTTACGAGCCAACGAAGGTCACAACCATCTTCGTATTCGCCGGACTTAGCTTATTGTTAGTAGCTTATTAATGGTAGCACTTTTTGTAATCCCCGAAATTCAAAAAACTCTTTAAGAGGTATCGATTTGATAATGTTGAAACAATTAAACAAAATTTGACAAGGACACTTATGAACATTCCGAAAAACGATATTAAGAAATGTTTCTAGCGGTAGAAATTATTTTGAATTAAATTATTTTGAAAGAGACTAAACTCCGAATCCGGACAAATCTTATATTTTTTTAGCAGTTAAATTCGTATGTTTCTTGCACGTTTCTAAAGGCTCAGACACATAGAAAAACTTAAGCCGTAAGGAAATCAACGGTATTGATTCGCTACCGCTTATGACATGTCTTAAGTTCTTGACTGTGATTGGCTGATTTGCTTACTGCTTAAGTCTTACTGCTTCGTATAAGACGCAAACAAGTTCTTAATAATTCTTTTTTCTTCATGAGCATAGAGGAATTTGCGATAGAGTCACTGACATCTCTGCGTCAGTTACTCACAATGTGGCGCACGATCATCTTCGTAATTTCTGTTGCAGTGACAAGTAAGTAAACATTTATATACATATGTAAAAGGTTACTTAAAAAGCGCCCATTAATTACATAACGATATTTCTTAACAAAAATTGAGTAAAGTCCTGAACCATTTTTTTTCCATAATGCTTAATAAAGTAGTAATTATTGAGTAAAGTCATATATGTATATTACATTTAACGTACGGATATAAAATTCTATCTTTTCTCAAAATATTCTTCTTTTAATCAACAAATATTATATTATAAAATTTTATCAATTCAAAAACACTTGAGAAATATGGTTCAATTCAATCAAAAGAAAAAATATTTGTAGAAAAAACATTTTGTTATGAAAATTATACATTATTATCTATATCTGTCATAATAACATATTTATTTTAATAATAATCAGAAATTTTGTATTTTAATAATAATAATGAGAACTTATTTCTTTCATAATATATGCAAACTTTATTTTTTAATCTTCCCTGTTTATATAATAGTAATTGTCTGTTAAAAAAATAAACTTACACATAAGATAAAATTCTAAAATATAATTAATTCAAAATGCACAATTATGAAATATTAAATTATGGAAAAGTCGTCTTGCAGAATTAGAATTAAATTGAATATAATGTATTTGTGTTGCGAAGTAATTTTTCGATCATTTTATATCAATAAGATTTATTTTTCGAGAGTTAAAATGATTATTCAAGTCTAGTCAATCTTTATTTTATATAATTTGAAAGTTGTTATACATTTTATGTGTTTCTCAATATTTTTTATATTTACATTTTAATGCATATTTTCTATTATATGTTCCAATTTTTGGAATAATTTATTCTTAGTGCAATATTACGTTTTTATCAGTAAATAATTCACATAAATAATTATTATTAATAGATAATAATTCATGTCATATCTCATATCATCGCAATTATGCAGAATTTATATGTATATATTTTATTCATATAGTTCCCTATATCTTCTCAAATCTTCTTTTATAAAAAGCTTTTTCTTTCAAAAGTGTGTTCAGGTTCTTCTTACAAAAATGTAAAAAGCAGGTTTTTTGTTTTAAATTTTCTGTTTTATCTAACGATTTTAGAATATATTAATAAACTTACATTAGCGTAGAACTATCAGTTTAATTTTCGTTAAATGTTCGCCCATTAAAAAAATAAACTATCAAGAAATGTGGAAATGCGTACCTAATGTAACAGTAATGGCGAAATAATTACTCAAGTATACTTCTTGATGGACAATTTTTAGTTGCGCCAACGAATAGCTGTATCGAAAGACGCCGATCAAAAGAAAATGGAGATGATGATGGATATTATTGCGTCTGCAATGCGATATATTGCGACGAAGTTCCGGACGCGATTAGGCCATGCAATCCTGCCGAATATGTCCTGATAACATCGAGCAAAAGTGGTCTATTTTTTAATGTATCGAACGGCATTTATAACAATGTTGAGGAGACTGACTGTAAGTACTGAAGTTGTTTCCTTAAAACATCAGAATCACTAAAGGAAATTGTACGAGTAGGTGCAAAACAGCATTTTGCTAAACAAACATTAAGAGCAATATTTACTACCATATTTTCGAATATGGATATTCAAATATTTCTTGAAGAAGAAACTGTAAAATCATCTCCGCTGGGAAAGATCACCATAAATCGAACGGATGTGTATCAAGAAATTTTTGGATTTGGTGGAGCTGTGACCGATTCAGCAGCTATAAATATTCACGATCTAACGTATGAGACATCCGAATACTTGATGAGGTACAAAAATTCATAAATTGTTAAATTTCAAAAGAGTTTTGCTAATTCAGTGATTTGACACAATTGACACATCTAAGAAATTTGCAATGCTTTCCGTGGAAAGTTAATTTTACATTCAATTTCTAAATTCTAGAAGCTACTTTGGCCCACGTGGTATCAATTACAATTTTATCAGAACACCAATGGGTGGCTCGGATTTTTCAACGAGACCTTACACCTACGCGATGGTAGAGAACGACACTTCGCTTCACTACTTCGAATTACAGACAGAGGATTATGTTTACAAGGTTTAGTCATTTATTGATTAATATCTTAATTGTTTATTCATATCTTATAAAACAAGCAATCTCTCTTTTCGGATATCGAAAAACATATACGAGAAGAGACTTGCGTTTCTGGAGTTAACTAAACTGGAATAATATAAGTAGCAGTTGCAATATAATTGATGTATTGTATGTACATTAAATGCCATATTTTATTAAATATCTTGTTAATAGATACCGACAATAAAGCGAGCTCAAGAATTAAACAACGGGAAAATTAAATTAATATCTCTACCCTGGAGTGCCAGTCTTTGGATGAAAACTAAAAACTCTTGGACAAATAATTCTAAATTACGTCCGGAGTATCGACAAGTGTGGGCAGATTATTTCGTGAAGTAAGATATCATTACAATATTTTTATTACCCCTAAAATCCTAAACATGGATAAAATTTACCTAAACTTTTCAAACGTTAACGCTCTTAAAACATGAAGTTAACAGCACTATACACTGGGTTTAAAATTAGTTTATTAGTCTCTATTGAAAAGTATGACTTACAATTAGTTGCTTTGTCACCTAAGCGTTCTTGACAAGAAAAACAGGAAAATTTCGTTTAAGTTATAAACATTTTACCCATGTTTAAACTTTTTAGATTTTTTTTAGAGATAAGTGCTCTCTAAATCTGAATCAGGGACTATTCACTGATTCAGCAGTACTAATTCACTGATTCAGATTTAAAGAGTGAATTTTGAAGAAACTTGTGTTTTGTTTTCTTATTATAACTTTTTTCAATTTTATTTAATTACAAAATTATTAACAGAATTATATATCTTCCTCAATACTTTCTACACACTTTTCTACACAGATTTAAAAAAGAGCATTAAATTTCTATCATTTCTTCGGCTGTTTATGAGCAAATAAAAATGCGCTGCATAAAATTTATCCATGTTTAGAGTTTACGTAAGTTTTGAACATTTAGAGTGTTAAATAGGGGGGTTAAATAAAGGGTTAAATAAAATTTCTTATTCATTCACAAGATGATCAATTGTTTCGAACTTCTCGGTAAATTGAAAGTAAAATAATTATTTATAAAAATAATTATTCTTTTTTCAGATATTTTGAGGCTTATCGTCGTAACGGCTTAGAATTTTGGGGTACAATGTGCCAGAATGAGCCAGAAAGTCACAAGTATATTCCGCTATCTCGTATCAATGCGATGGCGTGGACAGCCGAGGAAGAGCGTGATTGGATTGTCGAACACTTGGCGCCAACTCTGAAGAAAAAGGGTTTCGAGCACATCAAGATCTTTTCATTGGATGATAACAGGCTGTCGCTTCCTGATTGGGCAAAAACGGTATTTCAAAACAAGAAAGCAAGAGATATTATTTCTGGAATCGCGATCCACTTTTATTACGATACTTTAATCGGCCCGAGTGTCTTGGATGAAATAAAACAGCTTTTTCCAGAGAAATCACTGATATACACAGAAGCTTGCGCTGCAGCTTTCGAAGGTTGGTGAAGATATGTATATATTTTCATTTTTACATTAAATTTTTATCGCTCCAAAAGATTCCCTGCTGATGTTAGTTTAAACAACGACAGTAAATTGAAAAATTTCTATATTTTTCTATATTTTATATATATATTGCCGTTATATATTTTTATTTAAAATATATTGTATATATATATATATATACAATATATTTTATAAAAATATGGTTCTTTATAAGAATTTCTCGTTTAGTCATTTTCTATAACTTCAAGTAAAAAAAGAATTAATTAATTTAACATATGTTTGCGGATATACATTTTCAACTGTATAACAGATCTAAATCTAATAATTTTTGTGAAACAAAAAGGCACAAAGGTAATTCTGGGCTCGTGGAAACAAGGCGAGATGTACGCAACAAATATCATCGAGAGTATGTCGCATTGGGTATCCTCTTGGATCGACTGGAACATTGTTTTAAATACGAATGGTGGACCTACCTATATAGAAAATTATGTTAATTCTCCAATACTAGTCAACAGCACTGCCGACGAATTCTACAAGCAACCGATGTTCTATGTTCTTGGACATTTTTCAAAGTCTGTACATATCTTTGTAGTTTGACTGATACTTGTAACTCTGAAGTGATACAAAACTTTGATAACTATTGTAAAATAATTACGTTTAATATCTATCTACAGCGTTTCATCGGTATATTTCTATTAATTAATTTCTTTTTTAAATAGGTATGTCCCACCTAACAGCGTGAGAATCGGCACAACATCGGAGAATACCGAGGGAATTCAAAATATTGCGTTTTCTACGCCTGACGGCGGCGTCGTATTGGTGATCTTAAATCTGTAAGTTTAGTCTTGTATAATACTCTTATAAGACATAAATATAAGATATAAATGTGCGAATTATCATGCTTCACGACGCCTCATGCGGTGAATTGCGGTGAAAATCTCGTATATTTACTGAACTTTTGTGTTCTTCAGAAACGAAGAAGAGAAAGAAATTCTGATCGATGATCCGAAGAAAGGAACAACAAAGATAAATGTCCTCGGAAAGTCCATAAATACCATGAAATACTGGTAGCGGAAATACAAAATCCGCCGTATAATGTGTCGATAAGTATACACGACACGTGTAAGATGCGAATACTCAAATAATTTTCGTTTTTTAAACTTCATTCTTGCCACAATATATCTCGCTAAAGTATATAGTATAGCGAGTTTAATCTATTTTAAGAAGAATCATTAAGTGTGTCATAAAATACTGCCGAGCTTTCTCGCCTTTTCTTGCGGTACAATCTTGCTGATAGTATAAATATGTAATGGTGCAAATTGTCCTCTCTTTTTAAATAGGATTTTCACTCGAATTGTAACTCCCCGGACTGTGCCTTATTTGCATCCGGTTACGCGTTGTTAGTTCGTCGGTTCGCAATTACTCTAAACTTCTGCATAACTCGGGTCACTCTCCATTAAAACTCTCACTGAGAATTCTTACCTCCGGGTAAGAATTCGCCGGATTTGATGAGCGCCACAGAAACGGGCTTGCTCAAACGCTTTCTCAATCTCGCTGAATGTTTAAAATATCTTCCGCGTTTAATCCGCTAGCTAGACTGAACTTTAATATATAATAACGAAATGGTTTAAACTTCATACGGACTTTTGATAAAAGTCCTAATTATTTTTCTATGTTATTCTAAGTTTTTTAATGAATTATCTTCATGACAATGTTATGTGTATACTATACTTTTACATGTTAGAAATGAAAAGCTAAGATTTTCATAAACAGTAATAAATAAAGAACACAACTTGATCAATCTTTGACGTATGTAAAATGACGATCAGAAAGAAAAGGATTATATCTGATGTATTTTATCTAAATCATTAAAAGCGATCAAAGAACGGAGCAAAGCCTTTGTTATTCGCTCTTTTGATTTGTTTTCCCTCATGTTCATACAATTATATCGCAAATATTCACGCATCTATAATTGTGTTTATATTTTCTTTAAATGGCTCTTTCCTTATTTGTATTATTGTTGTCTTTATATAATTCTTCATTTGTATATAATTTTTATTTCACAGTGGAATTCCTGTCGACAGTACTTTCTCCATCTCTATTGAGTTGATTCCCATAATCCCAAAACCGATTCGATAACAATGCCGGCACGGAGAGAGAGAAATGTTTTAATATATCTATCGAGTGCGTCAGGGAATCTCAGAAAATGAACGTGCGTAGATTTAGGACGGGAGACATGCGCGAGAACGGAACGCCAAATTTCCCCCAGTAAAATAAAGCTGGGATCAAGGCTGCTTATCGGTGTACATGAAGGACACTCGCGTCGCTTCCGCGTGCGCACATTATATGGGTTACTGGTCCAAGGTTCGCCTATGCTATGCCCTGGGTTATCGCGCGGGCTCATGTGCAGGTAATACGCTGCAGGCACTTCCTCTCTGTGACCCATATATTCCACCACCACCTCGCCTCGTATTCCGGGTTAGATTTTAACGGGAAAGCGTTGTTTTCGAAATTCCTCGAAAGCTGATCAAAATTGCCTAACATGTCACTTACATGCATCACCTTTTAACGCTTTGTACGTGAAATAACTCAGCACCGATTGATTTCACCATCCTTCACGATAAGAAAAAACGAAGTTGTTTCTGACAAACAAATATCGCTGCTCTTCGCACGTAATCGAAGGATCAGCCAACTTTCTAGCTTCGAAGAGCTTTGGAAATACTGTGAAAGAAGATTTGGTGCTATCTCATTGGTAAATAAGACTAAGCAAGCTCTTCGATCTCTCAACGAAATAAAGCGACTACGATACATTCGCGCACTGTTGTGTGAATACGATCTGCTTTTACCCTCTCCAATTCTTCATAGGTATCCTTCGAATGCTTCTTGCACAAGAGGTTGTACATATCAATATGACAGTAGTACGTTCACTAAAATTTTTATGACTTTCTTGAACGACATATCCTTTCTCTCTCTCTCTCTCTCTCTCTTTAACCAATTTAGGATCTATACTAATCTAATGCCGTATTATTCCAATACAGACATAAAATAAAGTGCTTTAAGTGATAAAAAATTATGTATGCAAACGAATACTTCTCCCTCCTTCTCTTTCTCTCTTTTTTCTTTTTTCTCTCTTTCTCTTTCTTATATAAAAGGCTTCGTGTCTCTTACAACACTATGTGTTATTCATGTTGTTCCAGAAAAGCTATTTTAAATAGTATAAAAATAAAATGAATAAAAGCATAAATAGATAGACAAACAGAGAGAAGATAAAATCATTATAATTCCGTCTAAAAAAATATGGTCTAATATATATATTTATGTAACAGAATTTATATTTATAATATATATGTATATATGGCACAATGAGTAAGATTATATAAAGTGCATGTACATTATAAACATTGACGCACTGTTTGAACTCGTTGTTGCAAAATAAATATATGATAAAAAAAAACATAAAATAAAAACAACGTAACATAATCTAATCTATCAATCAAATATATACATCCGGTGAAATAGTTGGTCAGAAACAGGTTTTTGGAGAAAATAAAGACAATTTATAGGAGAGAGTTTAGATAAGAATCTAAAGAAGAGGAAGAATATTTTGAAAAATGGGACGATGCAATATATAAAAAGAGAAGAAAAAGAACCGCGTAAATGGAGGTGAAGGTCGAGATTTTAACATGAAAATCGTGCACTGGCTGCTAGAGTGACTGGATGTAGCCTATCGATCTTTAGGCTGATCTGCGGCGGTTCCTCGAGAGAGGAGGAAGTTGTTCCCGAACGTGCCTTCACGCTCCACGACATCTGTCGATAAGTTATTCAATTCCGACGCTATTGGATTTCCCTTTCCCCACGAGGTGAATCCTCAGTTGCGGTCTAACTGCATCCTCGGCGGTCCTGGTAACCCGATCGAGGACAAATTCATTTTTCGTTCGTCTCTCGGTGCACGCGCGTCTACAAACGATGCTCAACGTTCGAGACAAACGGCAATTCGTTTGACAATTTGGTAATTTCGCGAGTTTAATCCTTTCTGAAGAATGTGACATCGTTCATACATCGCAATTGCACATAATTATGAAATAATTTGTAGGGAAAAGTTTTTCAGTGAAGCCCATAATGAAACCGCGAGTCTGCACGCCCGTGATAAGAAGCTCTGTCTGATTTGCGACGTTGCAGCCTCGCCCATTCATTATTGATGCCGCGTACGTAATAGGGGGGCC